AGTGTGCCCTGTGTATGGAAGCTCTATAAGTCTCCTTTCCATTATTTTTGTCTTGATATCCCTTCCGAAATTCCTGGATTTGGTGCAGAACTTACAGTTAGCCCAGCGAGTATCAGAAAAATTGACGGTTTTCCCTCCGGTTCGTAGAACACTAGCTAAATTTCTCTGATACTTGCTGCTTTTAGCCGGGAATGAATTATGCTCGGAGAACAAAGAAGCTAGGAAAGAATTTTTCCCTGGGGTAGGAAAAGAGATTTGAAGCGGCGTGAAATGGGTTTTTCTTACCCATCCATCAAATTTGAGCCAGCAAAAGAGGACTTGCATTGTCATGTTAGAGGACTCGAATAGTTTTTGCTCGCCTTTCTAAAATTGTCTTCGACAACTCAGCTAACTAAGCTCTTTGTCTAAAGACGCCGATTGCACCACTCTTTCATAAAAACATACAAAACAGAACCCCTGAAGCCTCGCAGAATGCACAAAAGTGCACGTTCTCTCCTTAAATCCCCAAGAAACAATTGAAGAAATCAATTATTAAAGACAGTTTCCGCGATCAAGTGGTCCGCGAAATGCCTCCGTGCATTTGGCATCGTTGTCCGCATTCGCAGAGAATATACCACTTTCGTCACTCGAAACGGCGAGATAAAGAAGCTAGAGACGCGTGATTATTGCAACCATTGCAACCACGATTACTTTCACTCTGCAAGACAACGGCTTACAAGCGGAATTGCGTGTGTACATAGCGTTGCCTGGAGCGTCGTAGGGTGATTTCCTGTGCTCTTGCCGGGAATCGGTTGCACGTCGAATCCTGCTGATTGGGCTTGCCGACGTCCGACAAACTCGTCCAAGGCGCCCACTGCTGAGGCGTTCCTGTTCAGAGTGTTCCCAAGGTATTTTTCGCTTACTTTGTTTACTGGAGAGTTACTTGTGGGCTGGGACATGGGCTACTGTTCATTGCTGAGCACTTACAACCCGTAACATTTGATTGCGGGAATTGTTTCAATCGGATTTTGACCCACCTGCATACGTTGAGTGTCCCGTCTCGCCTGTACATCTCCATAGAACGACATTCGAAAAGCGGCTTCGAACTAAAACATTAACTAGGCTACCGTAACATTTCGTGGCTCAGCGTTCACAGTGGTACCTGGTAGTTGAGAAAGCCGACAAGAATTATTGATAGGACAACGTCGAGCAACATCTCCCAAATGAAAAATGACGAAGCGAACGAAGTGTCGAAAAATCCAAGGCTTGTTTCATTCGCACACCACTGAAAAAACTCGTGTTTGATTGATTTCCCCATGCTTTTGAATGGATTTTCTAATGAAAGTTCAAAGAGGAGGAAAAGTTTGAACATGTAGAATGCTTAATCTCTTCGGGCGATATCGAGAAATAACTTTTTGGAAGTGATCGGGCGACTCTATTTATTATACAATGAAGTTAGAATCCTCATAATGGTGGGTGGACCACTGGTTTATGGTGGCATTCACCAGCGAGCACTAACGACCATCAGCGTTTCGAGCGTCCGTTAGCTTCAGCAACTAGGAAAGTATAGGTATCGATCTAGCGAACGGCAGCGTCTACCAGCGTCTACCAGCGTCCACCAGCGACCACCAGCGTCCCGACTAGGAAATAGAAATATCGATCTAGCGTCCACCAGCGCACACTAGGACCAGGAGTACGGTACTATGTATCCTCAGCTGTCTCCCCCTCCTACTTCTCCGCACTCTCTACTCCTGGACACTGGTAGACGCTGGTAGACGCAAGATCGATGATCGCTGGCGGACGCTGGTGGACGCTGCCGCAAAGTATTGGGTTGACCCATTAGTTATGGCGTTTTTTCTTACACAAATTTTTGTATGAGAAGCGAGAATTGTTTCCAGTGGGTTGGATGCTGCTTGATAGATACTTCTCTACTCTACAAGCGGGGTACAGCATCGTTGTGGAACCCATGGGGGGTCGTACTTGCCGCTCGGGAGGGGGGGTTGCACTTGACCACTGGGGGAGGGTCGTATGTGCATTTGAGAGAACTTCCTAGTTGCCACAGTTCTACACAATTACTATTTGCGATAGTTGAAAATAGTAGTTGGTATCTGACCACCTCCCCCATCCCCTCCCTCCCCCGCTAAAGGAAAAATTTCTGGGGAGAAAGTAGCAAATGTTCGGGAAATTTCGGAAAAACTGGTAGGAAGCTGGGAACATGTAGGAAAGTGGTAGGTAGGTGTTGGGGAAGGGGAGGGTGGGGGGGGGGTCGTACCGAGACCCTCTTTGGGGAGGGGTCGTACTGACACCACCATTTCACACATCACGATGCTGTACCCTGTCTGCAAGGTGGCATGGTTTTCTTTCTACGCTTTTTAGATTTTTGTTGATTTTTATACACTTGAGGCGGAGG